CTTGTGAGGCAGGTACAGTGCCACTGAGCTAAATCCCTGGCCTAAATCTGATTTCATTTTGAGACACCTATTTGCCTTGCTCAAGAATTTTTAGTCTTCCTTCTACAATGAAGGTTAAAAACAACTGAAGTTTGTTCTTGCCTTTGATATGAGAAAATAATCCAATTTCACTTTTATTTCTTACCATCTTTAAAAAACTATGCATTTATTCACTGTAAAGCCATTTAAGCAATAATGCATTGTGATGGTTAAGCTTAATTTTGTCTGTGTGATTCACTTTAGAATCTGCTTAGGATATTGGTGCAGCACACTTCTGATGTTGCTTGGCTCATAGAGGTGTGACCTGGGTGCTTCACTTGGTCTTTACCCATTCCTCTCTGACACTGTTCCTCTCTTTTGCTTCCCCCACACTATGAACTAATAAATTTTGTTCCATCATACTCTTCTGCCATAATGTCCCTGCCTTGCAGCCAGTTTACCTTGGACTAAATCTCCTTAAAATATGAGTCAAATTAAAACCTTTCCTTTAATTTGTGACTGTTAGGTATTGTGTCAAGGAACAGGAAATCTAATGCATGCTTTGATGTTTTTGTAGATTCTCTTTTTGGAAAAACAGCCTTGTGCTCTAATGGCACATCTCTTAAAGATTGTGCTATAGAAATTGCCTAGAATTAAGCTGCTTACAATACACAAGCCCAAACAGTTTTAAAATTTACACTCACAAAGTACACTTAATAATAATTTAATTGCTTTCCTAATAATTTATTTCCTCCAATGTGACAGTATTTGTAGGTAGGACTTGTGGAAGAAATCATGTTTCTATGAGGCTATGTGTCTGGAGCGTGTGATGGGACTGGTCATCTGAACCTACTCCCTAGGCTGTGAAGGATAAAGCAAACAGGTGGCCATTGCAAACCTCAGGGATGGCTGACATCATACTTTGAATTTCTAGCATCTCAACCTTGGCCTTTGCCGTATCTACAAATTTCAGAAATAAATATTTATTGCTTAAACTACTTCATCTAGGATATTTTTAATGTAAGTATCTGTTGACTGAGAATTACATTCATCCATGAATAGAGAGAAGAGAAATAAACACTATAGTTTAGTGTGAAAGATAGAGTTATGCTGTTATATCTTTAACAGTAATGTGAAGAATTATTGCCTTCATAGTTATTTATTGGCTTACTCATTTATTTATTCCTAAACAAGAAATAAAAAGACAGTATATCTGTACTCTATTGTACATGCTGAGAAAATAACAGTGCACATGCTGATGGGAACCCTTACATTCAAGGACTATTCACCCATGAGTTAAGAAACAGGCAAGAAACAAGTAGCATGGGTGTGAGGTTCACTTCCTGCCTCATCTGGATCTGCTATCTGGTGAGGAGGGGTGGAATTATCACCTCAGTTACTGGAAATCCTGGAAGCAGTCAGACCTTTGTTGTTAGCCACTTTGTGAGACTGACTGAGCAGAAGAGACACTGTACTCAAAGTCACACTTCCTTCCCAAGGTTGCAACAAAAATTAATCAAGCTGTTTAAAAACTTGAGCCTCATAGCTGAGCTCACTTTTAGATCTGATTCTAAGGTGCATTAATATTGGTAGATGGCTGCTTTGAGGCCAAAGAGCTCAGGTGAATTTAGCAGGTTTTTGTGCCACAAGCAGAAGTCCTGTAGGCAACACCTCAGCTTTGTCAGGGGTTTAAGGACAAGGCCATCTTTCTGTTCATCCATTCCTGCTTGATAATCTGATTTTGCCAGATAAGTGCAATCACTTTTTGTAGAAAAAAGTTCTGTCTTGCAGTATCTGGAAATATCTGGATACAATGAAGAATATTAGTTCCAATTTCTTCCTAATCAGTGCAATAACATGTTCTCCATTCACAAGAGAAGCAAATCAAACCTCAACTGATGACTCTCATTCTCCACCATGATATTACTAGAAGTTCTTGGCGTTATGAGATTTGCTTGAAAGGGCAAATTCTCATTAAGAAGGGTGGGGTTCTATTGTGGACATTCTGAAAAGACACCACCAACTGGAGCTGTCAGGTCTAGACAGTCTAATAGTGGGATGAGACCCACTCCACAACTGGCCCGTGTGTAGTTCAAATATGCAGTAAGATTTGTGACTCACCAGACCACTAAATCTCATCTACTCACAATAATCCCACTCATCACCCCAGGGGTTAATTTACAAATGGAAGAGGTCTTAATTCTGGACTAAGTGAAAAGATGTCTCCTTGAAGAAGTCTTTTCTCTGTTGAAACAAAACCCGGGAAAACATACTCAGCTATCTCTAGGAAAATATAGGCATCTGAAACTTCCCACAGATGCAGGTTAATGAGATGAGTCAGCACAGGATGAAGCTCACTAATGAAATAATAAATGAGCCCAGGTATCTTCTATCTGGAAGCACATCTTCTGAGCTCTTATATATTTAAGTGCTTATCATATTTCAGCTAATTTGAGTAAAAGTATTTTTATCTTATTTAAGCTAGAGCCATCCTAACTCATGGAATTCAAACATTTCAGAATAATATCAAGTCATGCAACAGAGCATTAAGGTAAAATTAGCCCTTTAAGAAGATAAATGTCCTGGATTCTGTGGGTGCTATGCATATAGCACAACTATCAATCTCTCAGTCCACCCATGCTTACACCAAGGTTGACTAACAACAATTCATAGATACCCTGTTCTCTGGAGAAGGACCTCAGCTCAACAGATGCTATAAAGGATAATTGATTGTTGCAATCCCAGTAACAAAGCTCAGAATGCAATGGGGCTAAAAAACAGGGCCAAAAATGGAATGATTTGGGAAATTCATGCAGTGATGTGGTACATGTATTAGAAGGAGGCTATTTTTTCTATTCTAATGCTCTACTGAGATATCTTTCCAAAATCAATAGAGCAATATTCTTTCTATGTTCTTCTATTCTCTGACCAACAAACCAAATTCAGAAGATCAAGAGTTATTAGAGTTCCCAATACCAGAGAAGAGGAAATCAGTTTGCAAATCTAAGTTCAAACACCTTTCATCATTAAGGCCTCAAGTCATTGAAGTGTAAGAAACTGGTTGAGTAAGGGTCTACTCTTTTGTGAGCCCAGTGTTCCTGTGCTTTGATTCATTCCAGAAGACCATATTTAAAGCAGATGATAAAATTACAAAACTGGAGATGATCTGATTATTTTCCTCAAGGCTTTCTTTCTC